CTCAGAGCAGCCAGTAAGAACTCCATCTCATTACCTAAGCCCCAGAGATACATCTGGGAGCCAGAGACATTCAGGACCAGCAGCTACCCAAACCCCGCCCCTCCTGATTTCCAGTTCCCTTCCTCCCCTGCCTGGTCCTTTGGGGTGGGGCAGACACAGAATTGGTCTGCTCCTATGGAGATACTGAATCCTGAGTCATCCTAGAGGAGCCACTGCACTCAGAGCAGCAGACCCCAAGGTGGTTTGCACTTGGGAGACATCATATCCTGAGCCATCCTAGAGGAACCACTGCACCCAGAGCAGAAGGATTTCCAGATCCAAGAGGTGGCCTGAGTCCCAGGAGTTCTTCCACCCTGGAGATTAGGATCATAAGACCACAGAGACATCTGGACTCTGAGGAGCTCTGCAACAAGCAAGATAACTGGATATACAGACTCCAGTCTTACACAATGAGGGCAGGTAACACTAGAGTTAACCAGATCGTGAAAGGCAAGCACAAGAACATAAGCAACAGAAACTAAAGTTTCTTGGCATCATCAGTACCCAGTTCTCCCAATATTGCAAGCCCTGAACACCCCATCACACCTGAAAAGCAGGATTCAGAATTAAAATCACTTCTCATGATGATGATAGAGGATTATAAGAAGGAATTAAGTAACTCCCTTAAAGAAATACAAGAGAGTACAAGTAAACAGGTAGAAGCCCTTAAAGAAGAATCACAGAAATCCCTTAAAGAAATGGAAGAAAACACAAAGAAGGAATTAAACAAAAACATTCAGGATCTGAAAATGGAAATAGAAACAATAAGAAAGCTCAAAGGGAGACAACCATGGAGATAGAAAACCAAAGACAGAGATCAGGAGTCATAGATGCAAGCATCACCAACTGAATACAAGAGATAGAAGAGAGAATCTCATGTGCAGAAGATAACATAGAAAACATTGACACAACTGTCAAAGAAAATGCAAAATGCAAAAAACTCCTAACCAAAAACATCCAGGAAATCCAGGACACAACGAGAAGAACAAACCTAAGGTTAATAGGTATAGATGAGAATGAAGACTCCCAACTTAAAGAGCCAGTAAATATCTTCAACAAAATTATTGAGTAAAACTTCCCTAACCTAAAGAATGAGATGCCTATAAACATACAAGACGCCTACAGAACACCAAATAGACTAGACCAGAAAAGAAATACCTCCTGTCACATAATAATCAAAACATCAGATGCACAAAACAAAGAAAAAATACTAAAAGCAGTAAGGGAAAAAGGTCAAGAAACACATAAAGGCAGACCTATAAGAATTACACCAGACTTCTTACCAAAGACTATAAAAGCCAGAAGAGCCTGGACTGACATCATACAGACCCTAAGAGAACACAATTGCCAGCCCAAATTACTATACCCAACAAAACTCTCAATCACTATAGATGGTGAAACCAAGATATTCCATGACAAAACCAAATTTGCACAATATCTTCCCACAAACCCAGCACTTCAAAGGATAACTGATGGAAAACGCCAACACAAGGAGGGAAACTACAACCAAGAAAAAGCAAGGAAGTAATCTTCCAACAACCCCAAAAGAAGATAACTATACAAACATAACTCTATCTCTAATAACTAAAATAACAGGAAGCCACAATCATTTTTTCCTTAATATCTCTTAACATCAATGGTCTCAATTCCCCCGAAAAAAGAGCAGACTATCAGACTGGATACACAAACAAGACCCAGAATTTTGCTGCATACAAGAAACGCACCTCAGTGACAAAAACAGACACTACCTCAGAATAAAAGGGTGGAAAACAATTTTCCAAGCCAATGGTCCCAAGAAACAAGCTGGAGTAGCCATTCTAATATCAAATAAAATCGACTTTCATCTAAAATTAATCAAAAATGATAAGGAAGGACACTTCATACTCATCAAAGGAAAAATCTACCAAGGTGAACTCTCAATTCTGAACATCTATCCTCCAAATGCAAGGGCAACTACATATATAAAAGAAACTTGACTAAAGCTCAAAACACACATTATACCTCATACAATAATAGTGGGAGATTTCGACACCCTATTCTCTGCAATGGACAGATCATGGAAACAGAAACTAAACCGAGACACTTTGACATTAACAGAAGTTATGAACCAAATGAACTTAACAGACATCTATAGAACATTTCATCCTAAAACAAAAGTATATACCTTTTTCTCAGCACCTCATTGCACCTTCTCCAAAATAGACCATATAATTGGTCACAAAACAACCCTCTACAGGTACAAAAAGATTGAAATAATCCTTTGCATCTTATCAGATCACCACGGACTAAGACTGGTCTTTAATAATGACAAAACCAATGGAAAACCCACGTGCACATGGAAACTGAACAACTCTCTACTCAATGATGACTTGCTTAAGGAAGAAATAAAGAAAGAAATTAAAGACTTTTTAGAATTCAATGAAAATGAGGACACATCATACCAAAACTTGTGGGACTCCATGAAGGCAGTGATAAGAGGAAACCTCATAGCTCTAAGTGCCTACAAAAAGAAACTGGAAAGAGCACACACTAACAACTTGACTGCACACCTAAAAGCTCTAGAACAAAAAGAAGCAAATATCCCCAGGAGGAGTAGAAGGCAGGAAATAATCAAACTCAGGGCTGAAATCAACCGAATAGAAACAGAAAGAACAATACAAAATATCAATAAAACCAGGAGCTGGTTCTTTGAGAAAATCAACAAGATAGATAAACCGTTAGTCAGATTAACCAGAGGGCACAGAGACAGTATCCAAATTAATAAAATCAGAACTGAAAAAGGAGACATAACAACAGAAACTGAAGAAATTCAAAAAATCATCAGATCCTACTACAAAGCCCTATACTCAACAAAACTGGAAAACCTGGATGAAATGGACAATTTCCTAGACAGATACAAGGTACCAAAGTTAAACCAGGAGCAGATAAACCATCTAAATACTCCCATAACCCCTCAGGAAATAGCAGCAGTCATTAAAAGACTCCCCACTAAAAAAAGCCCAGGACCAGATGGTTTTAGTGCTGAATTCTATCAGACCTTCAAGGAAGACCTAATACCAATTCTCTTCAAACTATTCCACAAAATAGAAACAGAAGGAACACTACCCAATTCATTCCCTGAAGCTACAATTACACTCATACCCAAACCCCACAAGGACCTGACAAAGAAAGAGAACTTCAGACCAATCTCCCTTATGAATATCGATGCAAAAATACTCAATAAAATTCTAGCAAACCGAATCCAAGACCACATCAAAACAATCATCCATCATGATCAAGTAGGTTTTATCCCAGGAATGCAGGAATGGTTCAATATTCGGAAATCCATCAATGTAATATACTATGTAAACAAACTCAAAGAAAAAAACCACATGATCATCTCACTAGATGCTGAGAAAGCATTTGACAAAATTCAACATCCCTTCATGATAAAAGAAAGGTCTTGGAAAGATCAGGAATTCAAGGCCCCTACCTAAACATAGTAAAAGCAATTTATAGCAAACCAGTAGCCAACATCAAGCTAAATGGAGAAAAACTTGAAGCAATCCCACTAAGATCAGGGACTAGACAAGGCTGCCCACTCTCCCCCCTACCTATTCAATATAGTAATGGAAGTCCTAGCCAGAGCAAATAGAAAACAAAAAGAAGTCAAAGGGATACAAATAGGAAAGGAAGAAGTCAAAATATCACTATTTGCAGATGATATGATAGTATACTTAAGTGACCCCAAAACTTCCACCAGAGAACTCCTAAATCTGATAAACAACTTCAGCAATGTGGCTGGTTATAAAATCAACTCAAACAAATCAGTAGCCTTCCTCTACATGAAAGATAAACAGACTGAAAAAGAAATTAGGGAAATGACACCCTTCACAATAGTTGCAAATAATAAAAAATACCTTGGTGTGAATCTATCCAAGCAAGAGAAAGATCTGTACCACAAGAACTTCAAGTCTCTGAAGAAAGAAATTGAAGAAGATCTCAGAAGATGGAAAGATCTCCCATGCTCATGGATTGGCAGGATCAATATAATAAAAATGGCCATCTTGCCAAAAGCAATCTACAGATTTAATGAAATCCCCATTAATATCCCAACTCAATTCTTCACAGAGTTAGAAAAGGAAATTCTCAAATTCATATGGAATAACAAAAAACCCAGGATAGTGAAAACTATTCTCAACAATAAAAGAACTTCTGGAGGAATCACCATCCCTGACCTCAAGCTATACTACAGAGCAATAGTGATAAAAACTATCTGGTATTGGTACAGAGACAGGCAGGAAGATCAATGGAAAAGAATTGAAGACCCAGAAATGAACCCACACACCTATGGTCACTTGATCTTTGACAAAGGAGCTAAAACTGTCCAGTGGAAAAAGGACAGCATTTTCAACAAATGGTGCTGATTCAACTGGAGGACAACATGTAGAAGAATGAAAATTGATCCATTCTCTTATCTCTTTGTACAAAGCTCAAGTCTAAGTGGATAAAGGACCTCCACATAAAACCAGATACACTGAAACTAATAGAAGAGAAGGTGGGGAAGAGCCTCGAATACTTGGGCACAGGGGAAAAGTTCCTGAACAGAACACCAATGGCATATGTTCTAAGATCAAGAATTGACAAATAGGACTTCATAAAATTGCAAAGTTTCTGTAAGGCAAAGGACACTGTCAATAGGACAAAACGACAACCAACTAATTGGGAAAAGATCTTTACCAATCCTTCATCTGATAGAGGGCTAGTATCCAATATATACAAAGAACTCAAGAAATTAGACTCCAGACAACCAAATAACCCTATTAAAAAATGGGGTATAGAGCTTAACAAAGAATTTTCAACGGAAGAAACTCGAATGTTCAAGAAGCACCTTAAGAAATGCTCAGTATCCTTAGTAGTCAGGGAAATGCAAATCAAAACAACCTTGAGATTCCATCTCACACCAGTCAGAATAGCTAAGATTAAAAACTCAGGTGATGCTGTCCACACACAGCAATGGCATTTGTCAGGTGGTCCACACCTTTCTCGTAGTCACCTTGTGCTAGTAACTCCTCACCAAGCTGTATCTCTTCAAGGAAGAATTTCTGAACAGCCTCGGCATCTTTTAAGTCAGGTAACTTGGAAAGCCCGGCTCTTTCCTTAGCAAGCTTCTGTTTCTTTCTTCGTTCTCGAAGCCTGTTCTTGAAGTTGGGGTCACTCCGCCTTTTGCGGTCGAAGTAGATGCAGTACCCGATGAAGAGGGCACCGCACACGCCCGCGTCGATGGCGCTGTTCCGGCCCACCATCTTCGCTCGACTGCGGCGTGTGCCGGGCCGCGGGCAGCCCGCCTGGCAGCGGTTAGCTCCGACCGATCGGCGCACGCCGGCCGCTCGCAGCCGCCTGTTTCCTATGGACCACCTGACAAATGCCATTGCTGTGTGTGGACAGCCTCAGCAGTTGCTGCAAGTGTTACAGCAAACTCTTCCACCACCAGTGTTCCAGATGCTTTTGACCAAGCTTCCAACCATTAGTCAGAGAATTGTAAGTGCTCAGAGCTTGGCTGAAGATGATGTGTAATGAGCCAGATACCAACGTGGTGAAATCTCAGTAAAATGATTTAACAGTTAGCTTGGACACTGATCAGCTCTGGGGGGAATAAGGGCAAATTGTGCTTGTCATGAACTGTCCCACACTGACATCTGCCAAAGTGAATGTGAACTTTGGTAGATCCATTGTCTGTTCTATTTATTTTTCCAGTGAAAAGTATTTTGATAGAGCTTTTCATTTTATAAATACACTGAGTTTACCAAAATATCATGGATTTCGTTTGTTCTTAAGACATGTAATTCAAATGTAAATACAGTAGAGTATTTCTTAGGTAGAAACTCCTGGTGATTTTAAAAGATTGGGAAAGAATATGAGGAATAGTTAAATAATGCACATTTTAAAGACTAGAACATTTTGTTGTATGTTGTAAAATTGGGTAGAAACTTGTGTTTGTGAAAACTGAGCATTAAAACCTTACAGAGACCGTTTCTTGTTTACTTTTGAACATATATGTTGTCTATTAACAATTCCATTCCCTCCCTGTGTTTCCTTAAAAGCTTCTGTCTCCATCAGTGGCTTCATGTGGTCTGAGCACTTACTCCTAATCTTTCACGCACCTCGATGCAAACAGCACAGGGATTAAACCTGTGTGCGCCCTGACCTGGAGGGTGAGCTTTGCCTGCTGTCTGCTCACTTGGCTATAATATAGACAGACTAAGGGTCAGTCTGCCCATCTCTGGGGTGTCCCATCTCAGCATTAGTTCAGTTGGTTCTGTTGAGTGTCTTCAGGTACATCACCAGCTGATAATTTTTTTTTCAGAATAACCAAGCCTTGTACTAGTTTATATTCTGAATTTGCATGTTTGCCTGACTTAGTATTTCTCAATTAAAACCTCTAAGTGAAGTAATTTCTTTGTCAGTTGCTACTGATGTGAAGTGATTCTGTTACTGTTGTGTCATTTAACCAGAAACTCGTCCTTAAAGAAGCTTGGTAGTCTACTTGTGCAAGCATTGACTCCTTTTTTGATTTTAACAGAATACTACTGCTACTACTGTGGATTGATTAATTTACCTTGTGCAGTGACAGTGGAGTGCCATCCTGACTGGAGACTTGGCTGCAGCAAGTTGGACACCTTCTCAGATGGTGGCAGCACTGGCCACTGAGCCTGTCTGAATCAAGTGTGAGGACCTTGTGGTCTTCACTGTGCAGCATTCTTGAGGGACAGCTTGCTTGCATCTGTGCTATAGACTTGTTGGTTTGGCTCGCCTCTTTTCTGGGTAGTGTAAAGGGGAAGAATCTGGAAGAAGGCTTTAGTTAGCTTCTGCCTCTGGTTGGTGTTTGGATAACAGCTTTGGACAACTCCACTCAAGAGCCTTTCTCTGGTGTGTTCTGGTTGAATGCCAGACCAGGAGGCACACATTTGAGACCTTCCATTTAGTGCTTCTAGGCCTTTTGATCCTGAGTCCTTAAACAGTGCTTTCTTGGTAGGTATGCACATTTTGGGGAATGATAGTACGAACATGCTGGTGGAATTTCCTGGCAGGATCTCTAGCTCCAAGCCTCATAATGGTGACTCGTCAGAGATTGATAGCATGCAGAGTCCTGTGTCAGTCCAGGTGTGAGAAGACCAAAAGCTTGCAGAGTCACTCTGCAGGGTGCACTGGATGCCTGGCCCCTGGAGTTGGAGAGGCAGAGATGCTGTTCTACTTTGAGGCTGATTAAGCCAAGTCTGTTTACACACAGGACAGATGTGAGGCTTTGGCACTGTCACTTGTGAACACGAGCTGTTTGCTAACGACAACTACTTTCCTTCACAAAACAAGCACTGCACACCATCTCACCTGAAGTTAAATAGATGGAAGCAGAAAACATTGGTGTCGGTCACCGATGCCAGAATGAAGATTAACACTCAAGTAAGATAAAAGCAGTTACAAGTGTTGCCCTGGGAAGTCTGGAGAGGCATTACGTGTTATGGCACGGTGGCATGCTTCCTTGGGCAAAAGTGTACTTTTGGGTACCACTGTCTTAACTAAAAACATTCTAGCCAGCTGCCTGGAAAGGTGCAAACACCCCAGTAGTGTAATGCACACACCGAGGCAAAGTCCAGGTGTTGTGTTCCTTTACCTCTGGCAGGTTAGGTATATATACCACTGTGCACCTGCGTCTGTGACCTTGAATCAACCTGTGAATCAGTGCTGATGAACTGTTGAGGAAGAAGTGGTGTGGTCTGGTGCATGATGGGACAGCATAAATCCTTTCTTCTAACGTGAAAAAATTAAGTGTTTATTGCCTGTGCCTCAGCTGTATTAAAGGGTTTAGAGAAAAAAAAAAAAAAACCTCAGGTGATAGTAGATGCTGGCAAGGGTGTGGAGAAAGAGGAACACTTCTCCATTGTTGGTGGGACTGTAAGATGGTGCAACCACTTTGGAAATCAGTGTGGTGGTTCCTCAGAAAATTGGACATAGCATTACCTGAGGATCCAGCTATACCACTCCTAGGCATATACCCAGAAGATGCTCGAACATACAACAAGGACATATGCTCAACTATGTTCATAGCAGCCTTATTTATAATAGCCAGGAGCTGGAAAGAACCCAGATGTCCTTCAACTGAGGAATGGATAGAAAAAATGTAGTATGTTTACACAGTGGAGTATTACTCAGCTATTAAAAACAATGAATTCGAGAGTTTCCTAGGTAAATGGATGGAACTAGAAATTATCATCCTGAGTGAAGTAAGCCAATCACAAAAGAACACACATGGTATTCACTCACTGATTGTTGGATATTAGCCCAGAACCTTGAAATGCCCAAGATGCAACTCACAGGCCACATGAAGCTAATAAAGAGGGAAGACCAAGTGGGGGTTATTCGGTCCTTCTTAGAAGGAGCAACAAAATACTCAAGGGAACAAATATGGAGACAAAGTGAGGGACAGAAACTGAAGGAGGGGCCATTTGAAGACCTTTCCACCTGAGTATCCATCCCATGTGCAGTCACCAAAGGTAGATGCTGATGTGGAAGTCAGGAAGTGCATGCTGATAAGAGCCTGATATGGATGTCTCCTCAGAGGCCTTCAAGAGTCTGACATATTCAGTGGCAGATGCTCACAACTAGCCATTAAACTGATAATGGGGTTCTCAATGGAGGAGTTAGAGTGAAGACTGAAGGAGCTGAAAGAGTTTGTGGCACCATGAGGAGAGCAACAATACCAACCAACCACAGCTCCCAGGGTCTAAACCACCAGCCTGGGAGCACTTAGGGAGGGATCCAGGGCTTCAGCTGAATAAGAGTGGAGGGCCCTGCTGGGCATAGGTGGAAGAAGAGATCCTTGACCTCATGAAGGCTGGATGTCCCAGGGGGTGGGAATTTTGAGGGTGAGGAAGTGGGAGTCAGGGGGTAGGTAGGGGTTACATCCACAGAGAAGAAGGAGGGGGGATAAGGGGATGGGGGGTTCCCGGGTGGGTGGGGGATGGGGTAAGGGGATAACATATGAAATGTAAATAAAACATCCAATAAAAAAATTTTAAAAAAAAGAATACATCATAGAAAGAAAGAACTGAAAAAAAATAACTACCCCAGATATTTCATATAGTCAGAATCATAAAAAAACTATTTACATACTAGATAATAGCAAGTTTGTTTTTTAATTCTTCTTTCCATTTGAGTTGAATTGAGAAAATTCAACTTTATTAAATTCCACGTTAAATACTTTAATTTTGTTATTTCACTGTTTTACATAGAAAAAAAAGAGTGATTCTAAAATGCTAAAATATTATTTTTTATATCTCTTCAATTTCATAAAATAAAACTTGTGGCACTTCATATTGTGCTGAAAATAATACAATTAGACTGGCTAAAAATTTAAATAATATGCACAGCTAGTAAAACATAGGTATAGACTCAGTGTTCTTTCTTTAACACTATATTGCTTTCTGCATACAGACAAGAGATCAAAATGTCTAGTATTATAATAAGTACATTATAAATTCATAAAAGAAAGCTCTATTGGAAAGATACACCATAGAGGAAAATAACATTTTCAATTTCTATTATTAAATAGCTTTTTACCATATTGTTACCAATGAAATCAGAAATTACATGAATATGATTTTTGAAGGCAGAGATTGTTTAGAAAAGAAATATTAAACAATATGAAAATATATTTCTTTGATGTATTAGTAGTAAATATTAAATACAGACACTCTGTTAAGGAAATACATAATGGAATTTGGAAGGAGAACCATAAATATAGACTTCAGTGTGAACTGCATGTAACATTGATGGGAAAGAAACCTTTTTTTTATGTTTTGGATACTTTCACTCTAGTGAATTATGTTTCTACATGAATTATGTTTCTAATGTTATACATTTTAAACGTAACATGGTAATTATTCTTCACAACATTGTATCAGTTCAGGTATAGAACAAATGGAATTTGGAAACAGTTCACAGAAAGGGAAGACAGTACAATCCGGACTGAACATAAGCAAATTGTTTTGGCTCACCAAGAACATTGTTATCATTGTCAATAAACAAAACATAGCAAAGGATTGAAATGCCAACATTGTGTTGACAGTTTTTGTCATAGAGTGCTGAAATGAGTTAAATGAATTGAATTACAAAATATTTTAGTGCCTCTAGAATCAATGAATGGTATTCTTTATTGGCTTCATACTTTTTCATAATTAAATGAAAATAGGGAATAGGCAATTGAAAGTTACTGTTATAAGCCAATAAACATTATTGAATACAATACTATTACACTATACTTTCTTAGTTTGAAATGAAAATTATATAAAAACACCAGTAGTTATGTAATAATTTAAATACCATAAAAGTGCTATCAACAA